GCTGAGTGAGTGTGAGCTAGCTCACAGTTTTTTTAGCCTCCGGCTCCCACATTTTTGCCTCCGCTCAGGAAGGAGGGCCCCAGAGCAAACTAATTCATGCAGCAGCCAAATCACTCGCTCACAACTTTAAGGCCAGTAGCTCACAAAGTAGAGTCTTTGCTCACAAGACTCCACAGCTTAGAGGGAGCATTGCCGGCAACCCTAATGGGATGGGGCATACGGAGAAAGAAAGTGACTGAATGTTAAGAATCCCATCCTCCGAAAAGCACAACCCTACACAGAATGGTGCTGCTTGCACATCTGTTTGAGTCTGGGCTCAGGCCTGGCTGCCATTCCAGTTCCGAGTGGGTCATAGAGATCTCCCAGAATCCCAACTGCACAAACCAGTCCTACCGGAGAATATGGCAACGTTGGAGGTTGACCGCTATGGAATCACATCCATGCTAAGCTCCCTCCACCAACTATGCCCTCCTCCTGGGACTCCCCCTGCCAAAATCTCCAGAAATTTTCTAAGCCAGAGTTGGCAACCGTCACCTATCTCCTCTGGGAACATGTGTCTGCCATTAGGGACACTCACGCAATCACAAGTTCGGGGCATCATCTGTTCACTGGTGGCAAACAAGTGAGCAATTGTCTCATGGTCAGTTCGCTGTTTGTGAGCAGTTGAGGCCTGTTTAGTCACAGAGCTGGAAGGGACCGCCAGGGTCAAGGCCCTGCACAATGCAGGAAATTCACAAATACCTCCTTCCTCGCACACCCCTAGTGACCACTGTTCCACACCCACAAGATGACAAAAAAACCCTCCAGGATTTCCAGCCAAAATGGCCTGGAGAAAAATTGCTTCCTGACCCCAAAGTGGTGATCAGCATTTCCCTGGGTGTGTAAGAAAGGGCCATGAGAACTAAGCACTGATGCAACCCTTCCTGCCCTCCCTCTCATCATCTGCCTAAATTCACAGAATCAGCATTGCTGTCAGGTGGCCGTCTAGCTTCTGTTTGAAAACCTCCAAAGGGGGAGAGCCCACCATTTCCTGAGGAAGCCTGTTCCACAACCGCTCTAACGGTCAAGAAGTTCTTCCTAATGTTTAGCCAAAAACTCTTTTGATTTAATTTCAACCCCTTGGTTCTAATCTGACCTTCTGGGGCAACAGAAAACAACTCGGTACCACCATGACAGCCCTTCAGGTACCTCTCAGTCGTCTCCTCTCCAGGCTAAACATACCCAGCTCCTTCAGCCATTCCTCCTAGAACTTGGTCTCCAGACCCCTCACCATCTTCGTTGCCCTCCTCTGGACACGTTCCAGCTTGTCTATATCCTTCTTAAATTGTGGTGTCCAAAACTGTCAGGGTATTTGAACCGGACATTGGAGAACAATTAGTAGTGCTTCACACATGTACATTCTCCAAGAGCCTGAGAGTAGTCCTACATTTCCCCTCCCTCTCCCCCTCCCTCACAGACCTGTTTCTGTTGCACGGCACTTGGGAACCAACAGTATCAGTGAATAATCAACAAATTAAACAGAGAAACATTATAAATAAACTTTTAAAATAAAGTCTTAGCATTTGGTGTCCAATCGAGTCCATGTGAATTTTGGGCATGCACAGTTTTGCACAGCCTTATGGGAGATATTGCTAGTCTTGCACCAACAAGTACCAGGAGATTTAGGAGATGTTTAACACATGGAATTCACTGCCACAGGAAGTGGTGGCGGCTACAAGCATGGTCGGCTTCAAAAGGGAATTAGATAAGCATATGGAGCAGAGGTCCATCAGTGGCTATTAGCCACAAGGTATAGATAGGGGCTCTGGGGCAAGTGATGCTCGGTCTTCTTGGTGCTTGGGGGGGGGTCAACAGTGGGAGGGCTTCTAATGTCCTGGCCCCACTGGTGGACCTCCTGATGGCATCTGGTATTTCTGGCCACTGTGTGACACAGGGTGTTGGACTGGATGGGCCTTTGGCCTGATCCAACATTGGCGTCTTTTATGTTCTTATGATGCGGGGGGGGGGGCGTAGTTGAAGGGGAATGTGACATTTCCAGGTGATGCTACAAGAATTTCTCCAATCTCTATGGCCTTTACCATAGAGACTGGGGAAATTCCTAGAGAACAATGAAAGATGTAATGTTGTTTCTGAGTGGATGGTCAATGGATATGATGTCACTTCTGGGGAATAATTTCTATGGTCTTGGCCATAAAGATTGGGAGAAATTCATAGAGTGTCCCCATCAATGCTAGGGGTGTACATTCAGATATACTTGAGCTGAAAATATACACCAAGGTAGCAATTTCAACCCAGCTCAGGTATATCTGGATAAAACCAAACACTCCTGGAATTCTGAGAGTAATGGAAAGGTGTCTCTTGAGATTTCAGGAGTCTTTTCAGGTTTCAATCTCCACCCATGAAGGAGGGAAAGTGTGACTTATCGGATCTCTGGGACCACATCACAGCCACTGGCCCTTCCTTCTGTGGGATGTAGACAGCCAGAGAACAACTGCTGGGCTGGCTCATGGCCTTCTGGTAGCAAGTCATAAGAGCATAAGAGAAGTCAATGTTGGATAAGGCCAATGGTCCATCTCGTCCAACACTCTGTCACGCAGTGGCCAAAACCCAGGTGCTATCAGGAGGTCCATCAGCAGAGCCAGAACTCCAAAAGCCCTCCCACTGTTGCCCCCCTCAAGTACCAAGAATACAGTGGATCACTTGCCCCAGACCGAGAGTTCCTATCTATACCTTGCGGCTAATCGCCACTGATGGACTTCTGCTCCAGATGTTTACCCAGTCACGGCTAACCAGGAGACTTCACGATGGTTCAAAGATTCAGGAACATTTCTGGAGACTCACAAAGGCTTCCAGAGACTTGCAAAGGCTTCCAAAGGCTTGTGAAGCTCTGGCTGGCCATGATTTGCAGCCAGGGCAGTGGGCTCAGTGGTACAGCAGCTGCCTTGACATCCAGAAGATCCCAGGTTCAATCCCCGGCCTCTCCACTTAAAAGGATAGAACAGCCAGTGGTGTCAAAGACCTCAGCCTGAGACCCTGGAGAGCCACTGCCAGTCTCAATAGACAATAGTGACCTTGATGGACCAATGGTAGCTTCATGTTTAACAAGCCAGCAGGCTGGCAGTCCCAGGGTTGCCAGGTCCTTACTTTCTGCTGGCAGGGGGCTCCAGCCTGCTCCTCTGGACCTTCTGGTTATTATAGAGTTTTTAGCTAAATGCTAGAGCATCACCCGTGTGACGTTTCTGGTGTGATGACATCACCTCTGAGTGATGTCATCATGCCGAGCAAACCTGGAGTGGTGGGGCTCTTTGAGGGGGGGCTCCCCCAACGGCCAACTGGCTGGCGGTGAACTGAAAACCCCCATCATCCCCATCTGTTGGGGCCCAGGTGGGCTCTACCTCCCACCGAAGGAAGGACCAACAGGTTGTGACACGGCCTCAGAGTCGTGCCTTCCCTTCCTTTCCCTTTTTAAGACTTTAAAGGGCCAGTTGGTGTAATTTCCTTTCAAATGTCAGGTTCAGGTTTTCTACACGGCATGCTTTTCAGGTGCTGAAATCCCCAACTTCGGTTTCCACCCCCCCACTCTTTGAATGATCAGGTTGAGGGCTGAGAACAGGGCTGGGGGATTGGCTGCTTTTTGTTGTTTTTGTTGTTCAGCCGCACAGTCGAGCGACTCTTCACAACCCCATGGACCACATCACGCCAGGCCCTCTTATCTTCCACTGTCCTCTGGAGTTTGCTTAATTTCATGTTCGTTGCCTCGATAACACTGTCTGGCCATCTCATCCTTTGCCGTCTCCATCTTCTTTGACCTTCAGTCTTTCCCAGCATCAGGGTCTTCTCCAGTGAGGGCTCCCTTCTCATTGGGTGGCCAAAGTATTTGAGCTTCAGTTTCATTATCTGGCCTTCCAGGGAACAGCCAGGGTTGATTTCTTTTAGGATTGACTGATTCGATCTCCTTGCAGTCCAAGGGACTCTCAAGAGTCTTCTCCAGCACCATAGTTCAAAAGAATCTATTCTGCGGTGCTCGGCCTTCCTTATAGTCCAACTCTCTCAACCATACATGACTACTGGGAATGCCATCGTTTTGACCATATGGACTTCTGTTGGCAGGGTGATGCCTCTACTTTTTATGTTGCTGTCTAGGTTTGCCATGGCTTTCCTCCCCAGGAGCAGGCGTCTTTTAATTTCATGGCTGCGATCACCGTCCGCAGTGGTCTTGGATCCCAGGAACGTGAAGTCTGTCGCTGCATCCATGACTTCCCCTTATATTTGCCAAGGAGTGATGAGTCCGGATGCCATGATCTTAGTTTTCGTTTTGTTTTGTTTTTGATGTTGAGTTTCAAGCCAGATGTTGCGCTCTCCTCTTTCACCCTCAGCAAGAACCATTGGGCAAATTGTAAGCCTTGTATCTGGACATTGCCAGTACGGGAGACCACCTGGAAACCCAAATCCCCCTACTGTTTTATTACACGGTGCAGCTTTCTGACTCCTCGTGTTTTTTTATTTACAATTTTCATCCGGGGTTGTCACCGGTCCTCTGGATCTTATTGCAATTGTTTCATTGATTTCCTAATCTGTTTTTTTCCCATAAACTGTCTCGGGAACCTTGTGTTGAGTGACATCATATAAATATATTAAAGGAATGATGGAACAAAGGGAGAAGTAATTGTACTCCATCCACACCGGGAAGCCCATTACAATAACACAAGGCCTCGCTTTGGCTGGGTTCCCAATCTGTAGGGGACTCAGCTGAATAGTAAATCCAGCTTTGGGTGCCCGTGCAGCTGTGCCAGTTGACCAGGGGAGAATATATTCCGTTTCTATTTGTGGAGCATTAGCATGCAGATTACTCGAGGAGACGATTGGCATAATTCGCCCGCAGCTATCGTGGGGGCTGAGTCCAAGAGAAGGGAGTTCCCTTCCAAATGCAAAGGGATGATGACTACGTGGTTGCCAAAGGAAAGAGTCATCCAGCTTACACAGATGGTTTGGAGGGTTGGGCTTTGGCATGGTATAAAAGGGACTTGTCCTACCTGGAGCTACAATCGAAGCAAATCCACTAGAGCGATTCATTGGGTAAGTCTAGTTCTCTTCACTTTAAGGGGTAATCAGACGGTGTAGTAGTAATAGTAGTGAGGTGGGTGTTATAGTAATGGGGTGGGTTTGAGTAAATATGCTTCTGCTAAGGTTCTAAGGTGTAGCGGTGGTACCCCCAGTAGAAATACCAGTGATACTATCAATAGTAATACCAATAGTAATAATACCTGTAGTACTAGTAGAAGCAGATGGTGGAATAACAGACAACTCGGTTTCTTGCTAGATTAAGTCTATTCTCTTCATTCTAAGGGGTAATCAAACTATGTAGTAGTAGTGAGATGGGTGCTATAGTAATGGGGTGGGTTATTTGAGTACATATGCTTCTGCTAGTTCTAATGTGTAGCGGAGGTACCACCAGTAGAAATACCAGTGGTACTACTAATAGTAATACCAATAGTAATAATACCTGTAGTATTAGTAGACACAGATGCTGGAATAGCAGGCAACTAGATTTCTTGCAAGATTAAGTCCATTTTTTTTGGGAAATTTCGTAAATAAATTTTAAAAAATGCTGTAGGTCACAAGCATGGCAGAGTTCATTTGCCAATCCTAACTCTGTTCATTCTACTTCTTGATGTGACTCTATTGCTTTAAAGAATAGATTCAGGTGGGTCACCATGTTGGTCTGAAGCAACAGGACAACGTTTGAGTCTTGGTTCTGGGGATAAGCTTTCGTGTGGCACGCATACTTCTTCAGATGTAATAGAACAATAAACCTGGATTTGGGGGAAAGAATAATTGCAGTAGTAATTGTCCCTGTGGTAAGAGTTATGAAAGTATCAGAGATCAGTGTTCCTTAATGACTGTGATAGTACTACTACTATTTGTAGTTATTATTATTAATGATGATGATAAGATGAGCATGCCCATCAGAAGTGCAAGTGTGGTGAGCTTCCGGTTTCGGCACTCGCCATGGCGGTCGCTTTCTCCCGAATCTCCGGGAGACAATCGCCAGAACCCATGGCAAGGAGGGGGAGTGATTGTCCAATAGAGGGGACCCCTACAATGCCACCACAGCAAGCGTTACTACTCCCAGCACCATAGTGCTACTCCTATGAGTAAGGGCAGTGATGGGGTAGTAAGGAGAACGAGTAGTAAAGATGCTGGTTTTTTGTGGTAGTAGCTGTAGCTGATAGTAATGACGGTTGGTTAGAAAGAAGTAGCTTTTGTTGGTGGTAAGGTCCTAGTGGTAGGCATTGGCTCTATTTGTAATAGGACTAGGTTTTCTGAGAGCGCCCAGTAGGCAACACCCATTGCTAATTTTAACTTCACTAACTAGGTGGGTGGCCCCCAACGCTCCCTGGGAGTCTACAGAAGCAAACTGTTTCGCATCCATGGCCTGCGTCAGCGAAGGGTTTAAGGATCTGCGAGCTATGTTCTTGTCCTTTCCGGTCATGGCTTCAGTGCTGTATCTCCTCCTCTTGATAACTGCTTACACTCAGTCCTTGTTTTTTCAAGGGACTGTGTTATTGGGCTAGCATAGACCTCAGCAAACCTCGGTCCCTGTTTTGTCCGGGAGATATTTTGCAGGCTCCACTGAAAAAAATTCATCTTAGGGTGGATTGCTAGAGGCTTCGGGTCTCAGTGTCCCTGTATCGTGTTCCACCCCTCTGAATGGGTTGGATCCCACAGATCTGTTCCACAAACGGTGGCACCTTCTTTTGGCATAAGATGCCAGCAGAGGCAAGAAGAGCTCTTTCTGCCAGGGCAAACCGCCTTGAGGGGAAGGAAAGTGTCACTGTTGGTCGAACCCAACTCGGGGAATGTCCTCCCTGTGTCAAATCTCTGAGGAGTGTCTGTGGATTCCTCTTGTTTCTATTGGCATTTCATAGCATTTAACCCTAACAAATGATAGGTGGCTCGCAAGCAATGTTCCCTCTATGCTGCGGAGTCTTGTGAGCAAAAAATTCTACTTTGTGAGCTGCTGGCATGAAATCTGTGAGCCAGCGATTCGGCAGCTGTGTAAATCCGTTTGCTCTGGAGCCCTCCTTCCTGAGCTGAGACAAAAAGGTGTGAGCCGGAGGCTGAAAAACTGTGAGCTCACCCACACTAACTCAGCTTAGAGGAAACACTGCTCCCAAGTGCCAAAGGGCTGCGGTCCCACTGGAGGCTTGCTGTGATCTGGGCGTGCCTCTAATCATACCAGTTTAAAGTGTTGTGGGGCGGAACAACCAGACAGAACACCCTGGGGCGGTTTCCCCACGTACTCATCTGGTGGTCAGGCACGCACATTGCTGCAGTGCTCCAACCGTGGAGCATGCTGCCTGGTCATTTTTTAAATGCAGGTGGGTGCATGCGCATACGCACTCATGCGCTCATGCGCATATAGGCAGCAACTCCCAAAAAAGCATCAGAAATGGACCTGCAGTTTCAGACTTCCCTCTGAGTTCCTTTTGCGGCAGAAGAGTTCAGGCTTCCAAGAAAGCAGAGTGGAAGCACTGGTATCTGTTAATACCGGACATTCCCCGGTGCCTGATTACTCCGTTTCCAAAGTGGGGCAACACGGGGTGCCCACGGGGTGCCCGCAACTCTATGATTCGATGATTCGATGTCCCTCTGCCCTGACCTGGGTGGCACAGGCTAGCCTGATCTTGTCAGATCTCAGAAGCTAAGAATGGCGGACCCTCGCTAGTTGTTGGATGAGTGACCATCAAGGAAGTCCGTGGTCGCTACTCAGGGGCAGGCAATGGCAAGCCTCTAAAGCACCCATTTTCTCCAGGGGAACTGTTCTCTGTTGATAAACTGTGATTCCAGGGGATCCCCAGGTCCCACCCGGAGGCGGGCATCCCTATCTGATTCAAAAGAGAGAGAGAGATCTATATCTCTATCCCAGGCTGTGGTCACACACACTAAAAAAGCCGCTTTCAATATCCACTTTCAACACACTTCCCCACTGGATTTTGCCAGCTCATACAGATCTCTTCCACATTTGTCGTTTTTGTCACTCATCTATCCCTATGGCTTCGGGCTTTTTCTCCCACAGTGTGTTTTGCTGTCTCTAGTAGTCCCAGAGGGAGCAAAACACATCCATCCATCCATCCATCCATCCATCCATCCATCCATCCATCCATTCATCCACCCAAATGCACAAATAGCCTCCTTTGCATGCAAGAGCCAGTTTGGTGTAGTGGTTAAGTGTGCGGACTCCAATCTGGGAGAACCGGGTTTGATTCCCCACTCCTCCGCTGGCACCTGGCTGGATGACCTTGGGCAAGCCATAGTTCTGGCAGAGCTGTTCTTGAAAAGGAACAGTTTCTGTCAGAGCTCTCTCAGCCCCACCTCCCTCACAGAGTGTCTGTTGTGAAGAGGGGAAGGGAAAGGAGTTTGTAAGCCGCTCTGACAGTCCTTTGGGTAGTGAAGGGCGGGGTATAAATCCAATATCCTCCTCTTCTTCTTTGGTGTAGTGGTTAAGTGCGTGGACTCTAATCTGGGAGAACCGGGTTTGATTCCCCCCTCCTCCACTTGCACCTGCTGGATGACCTTGGGCAAGCCGTAGTTCTGATAAGAGCTGTTCTTAAAAAAGATCAGTTTCTGTCAGAGCTCTCTCAGCTCCACCTACCTCACAGGGCATCTGATGTGGGGAGGGGAAGGGAAAGGAGTTTGTAAACTGCTCTGAGACTCCTTCAGGTAGTGAAGGGCAGGGTATAAATCCAATCTCTTCTCTTCTTCTTCTCTGCATCACAAACTGCTCTTGAGATTTCACCCGCTTCCAAAGCTGTTTGCTCCATTCTATTGAATGTGGTATGAAGGGGTGGAAGGAGATAGAGCCGATTACTGGGCGGGGGGACAAAATTACAAAACTTCCTTGAGTAGGTGGGTGAATGTCAAACAAGTTCTGATGCATTGCAATTACTTACTCAAAGAGACAACCTGCCCGAGTGCAACCGCTTTGTTCTTTTACTCTCATCAGCATTCCAGTCAATTCCTGATCAACACTGCTTATAATATGGTCCAGGTTAGAGCATTCTTGTTGGTCCTCCGATACTAAAGCAAGGTCAGTCCAGATTAACACTTGGATAGGACACCACCCAGGCCTGTATCCAGGATTTCGTGGCTTGTGGGGCATTTTCGTTTCTGGTGGTGCTGAAGTTCTCCGTGCAGAAATAAAAGCCATTGAGCCCCTAGAAAGCTGCTACCAGGATAGATCTCTAAATTGCAAGCTGTCAACCACTTTAGATGACAGTTCTCAGCTGCTGCAAGTTAATCACTTCTGCCGGCCTCGGCAACAGTTCTGAGAACAAACCGGCAGGTGGGGGGGATGACTTCTATAGTCAAGAAAGCTAACACTTAGGCAGAAAAACTCTCTCTAAGGAGACCAGTTTCTTGACACAGTGGTAGAGGTGATCCTAGAGGGATCCTGGCCCCACTGTTGGACCTCCTGATGGTACCAAGTATTTTTGGCCACTGTGTGACATTTTCGTTTCTGGTGGTGCTGAAGTTCTCCGTGCAGAAATAAAAGCCATTGAGCCCCTAGAAAGCTGCTACCAGGATAGATCTCTAAATTGCAAGCTGTCAACCACTTTAGATGACAGTTCTCAGCTGCTGCAAGTTAATCACTTCTGCCAGCCTCGGCAACAGTTCTGAGAACAAACCGGCAGGTGGGGGGGATGACTTCTATAGTCAAGAAAGCTAACACTTAGGCAGAAAAACTCTCTCTAAGGAGACCAGTTTCTTGACACAGTGGTAGAGGTGATCCTAGAGGGATCCTGGCCCCACTGTTGGACCTCCTGATGGTACCAAGTATTTTTGGACACTGTGTGTTGGATTTTGGCCTGATCCAACATTGGCTTCTCGTATGTTCTTATGTTCTTACCTACTCCAACCCCCTTGCTCAGTGCAGGAATTAGTTAATTACAGCACCCCACTCAACAGCAACAGTGGGAGGGCTTCTGAAGTTCTGACCCCACTGGTGGACCTCATGATGACCCCTGGGTTTTGGTCGGTGTGTGAAACACAGTGTTGGACTGGATGGGCCACTGGCCTGATCCAACATGGTTTCTCTCATGTTCTTATATCTGAGGCAGCGATGCTCTGTCTTCTTGGTGCTTGGGGGACAACAGTGGGAAGGCTTCTGACGTTGTGGCCTGCTGGTGGACTTCCTGATGCTCCCTTTGACTACTGTCTGACACATTGGTCTGATCCAACATGGCTTCTCTTATGTTCTTATGTTCTTATGTCTGGGGCAGTGATGCTCTCTCTTCTTTGTGCTTGAGGGGCAACAGTGGGAGGGTTTCCGGAGTTCTGGTCCCACTGGTGGACCTCCTGATGCCCCCTGGGCTTTGACTACTGTCTGACACAAGGTGTCAGACTAGATGGGCCATTGGTCTGATCCAACATGGCTTCTCTTATGTTCTTAAGTCTGGGGCAGTGATGGTCTCTCTTTTTTGTGCTTGGGGGTCAACAGTGGGAGGGTTTCCGGAGTTCTGGTCCCACTGGTGGACATCCCGATGCCCCCTGGGCTTTGACTACTGTCTGACACAAGGTGTTGGAATTGGCCATTGGTCTGATCCAACATGGCTTCTCTTACGTTCTTACCTCACAAGACCACTGTGAGGATGAAATGGGAGTGCCACGTTCACCACCCCAAGGTCACCAGATGAAAGGCTTGATGAAGGAAAATGGGATAGATGGCTAGATGGGTATGGGTGGAGAAGAAGGAACAGACATTTTAATATGCATATTGTCACATTTACTTATAAACACATGCTGAGTGCTTGGTGTTAGCATTCGGATGCTTCATCTGTGAACATTTGATGTGTGGGTTTGACATTGACTCATGAAAACTTTTCTCTGATCCTTCCAGGCTGCCTTCAGCAAAGGCCAGTAACAATGGCATCCTCCAGCAACCAGCATCAGTCCAAGCAAGCCGCCTCTCTGCCTGCAGAGCTGAGCAAACACACCAAGGAGCCCCAAGCGACAGCTGAGCCACCTTCTCAGGAGAAACAGCCATGCAAGGAACCACCCATCGCAGCCCACCCGTCAGAGCCTTCCAAGGAGAAGGCCCCCGGCAAGGAGATACCGGTGGTGGTCACCCCGTTGCCAGCCCACCAAGTGGCACCATCAACCCAAGAGAAGCACCCAGTGAGCGCTCCAGAGCAAGCACCTCATGAGAGGGCACCAGGCAAGGAGACACAAGCCACTCAGGAGAAGCAACCAGCCAAGGAACCACAAGTGGCTCACGAGAGGGCACCAGGCAAGGAGACACAAGCCACTCAGGAGAAAGTACCAGCCAAGGAGCCACAAGTTGCTCATGAGAGGGCACCAGGCAAGGAGACACAAGCCACTCAGGAGAAAGTACCAGCCAAGGAGCCACAAGTTGCTCATGAGAGGGCACCAGGCAAGGAGCCACAAGCCACTCAGGAGAGGGTACCAGCCAAGGAGCCACAAGTTGCTCATGAGAGGGCACCATGCAAGGAGCCACAAGCCACTCAGGAGCGAGTACCAGCCAAGGAGCCACAAGTTGCTCATGAGAGGGCACCAGGCAAGGAGCCACAAGCTACTCAGGAGAGGACACCAGCCAAGGAGCCACAAGTTGCTCATGAGAGGGCACCAGGCAAGGAGCCACAAGCTACTCAGGAGAGGACACCAGCCAAGGAACCACAAGTTGCTCATGAGAGGGCACCAAGCAAGGAGACACAAGCCACTCAGGAGCGAGTACCAGCCAAAGAGCCACAAGTTGCTCATGAGAGGGCACCGGGCAAGGAGACACAAGCCACTCAGGAGCGAGTACCAGCCAAAGAGCCACAAGTTGCTCATGAGAGGGCACCGGGCAAGGAGACACAAGCCACTCAGGAGAGGACACCAGCCAAGGAGACACAAACCACTCAGGAGAAGGTCCCGAGCAAAGCGCCACCATGTGCACCCTGTGACCAAGAGAAAGCACCGGGCAAGCATGCACTTTCAACTACCCAGGACAAGGCTCCATGCAAGGAGATACCTGAGCCATCCAAGGAGCCACAAGCTGCCACTCAAGAGAGGGGGGCAGGGAAGGAGCCACAAGCTGCCGCTCAAGAGAGGGGGGCAGGGAAGGAGCCACAATCTGCCGCTCAGGAGCGGGGAGCGGGCAAGGAGCCACAAGCCGCCACTCAGGAGAGGGGAGCCGGTAAGGAGCCCCAAGCTGCCACTCAGGAGAAGGCCCCGGGCAAGGAGATACCTGTCGTGGTTGTCCCCGAGAAGAAGCCTCCAAGCAAGGAACCGACCGAGGCCAAAGGCCAACCTCCCCTCGACCATCAGCAAAGGAAGCACACCTCTCCGTGGCCTCTCCAGAATAAGTAAGCGAGGAAGATACCAAACGGTCTCGGAAGGAGAAGATCCATACGTTCCACATATTTAGCTTGTCGTCGTATTTCTGAGCATACCTCATCCACTTATTCTTTTCAATGCTTTATTTAAAAAAAAAAACCCAGTTAATACTCCGGGCCAATTGTACTAACTAGATAACTTAATTTCCATGCAGGAGTGTGCATTGGTTCAATCTTCCTCCTGGTAGAGGTGGTTTGGGGCTGGCCTCCTGACGTGGTCTTAAGTGAAGATGCAAGGGCCTCTTCCTTTCCTTCCTTGCATCCATGAAAGGGAGATATTTATTGTTAAGTTAATTACCGTATTATCTACTGCATAGCTCTTCAAACACACCATCATGTCACGGGGAACGAGAACGGACGACAGGGTTCAATGAATTTCCCGAACCCTTGGTTCTAGAATGAAATCACTGAAAGTCACCAGACATGCATAGCATATTCCATGTTCCAACTTCCACTGGTTTTTTTTGTGTTTTTTTAAGAAAGGGCTGAACGTTATCCAAAGATCAGCTGTCGGTGGGCGGCGAATTTGCCACTGTTCTTTGACATAAGCAGAATTTCAAATGTCAAGAAATGTCAGAATTTCTAGAAAAACAAGAAGCGGTCCTATACAACTAGCTCCATTGTGGGGGGATGCGGGTGGAGTGGGGTTTCCACAACCCCTTCTAGCAATTGTCTCCCATTCCTCCACAGTGGCCGGCATTTCCCGCACATCGCATTCTCCGCCCAGCCCTCATCTTTCTCATGAAACAAACACTTTCCCGTTTTTCTGGCCTCAAGGACTGTTACAGAAAGGACAGAGACAAACGTCCACTTCCTTTTTCATGAATGATCCTTTCCACTCTTGGATTTCATCCCTGGTTTTATCAGAGTTCGACTCGGGACACAATACTTTGCATTTATCCTTGGTCGTAACAGCATCCATTTATCCCGGGATGAGGGTGGGGTGAAACCAGGGTAACCTCAATGTAACGTGGGAACAAAAAAAAAATACCCTGTGATAGTTACAGAGGTGAATTTGAGTGTAGTGTAGAATGTAAAAATACCCTGAGATAATTACCGGGGTGAACTCGTGTGTAGTGTAGAATGTAAGTTCGGGGACAGGATTGCACCAGGATTTAAGGTCTAGTGTGGAAAGGACCAATGATGTTGGCCAGATAGTGAGATTTTATCAGAACTTCTCATCCAGGGAAACACATGAATGCTTCAGAACGTGGTTGTTTCCCAAGATGTCAGGGTGAATTTAATTAAGACGCTTACGGAAAGGCAGCTGATTTTGCTGGATAACTTCCATCCCACGACTGCGGAGGAGACATTTGCTAGGCCCCACTGAATGAATGAATAAATCTTTGTAACACTGAACCACAGAAATGCTGATGATGTAGCCACAAATGTATTTCATCTGTCTGTATATGTTTCCTGGAGTTGGACTACTGGCTCCTATTTCTCTGATTCTGATCTTCGGGAATAAACAAGAAAGCTAAAGCTACTAACCAACCTGTGTCGTGTGAAATATGTGGAAGATGTTGAGCTATGGAGGGAAGACTTTCTCTGGCAGAATCCAGTGGGAGGTTCTAGGACAGAGACATGGGGGGTGCATCATCTGTACCACAATATCACTTCAGGATAAACATCTGGAGCAGAGGTCCATGTGTGGCTATTAGTGACAAGGTGTAGACGGAACACTCTGTCTGGGGCAGGAATGGTCTGTCTTCTTGGTGATTGGGGGGCAACAGTGGGAGGGCTTCTGGAGTCCTGGCTCCGCTGGTGGACCTCCTGATGGCACCTGGGTTTTTGCCACCGTGTGACACAGAGCATTGGACTAGAGGGGCCATTGGCCTGATCCCACATAGCTTCCCCTATGTTCTTATGTCTGGGGCAAGGGATGCTCTGTCTTCTTGGTGCTTGGGGGGGAAGAGTGGGAGGGCTTCTGGAGTTCTGGCCCCATTGATGGACCTCCTGATGGCACCTGGGTTTTGGCAACTGTGTGACACAAGGAGCATTTGAGTGGGTGGGCCATTGGCTTGACCCAACATGGCTTCTCTTATGTTCTTAAGAGCAGAGGTTCATCAGTGGCTATTAACTACAAAGTATAGATGGAACAGCTACAAAGTATAGATGGCAGAATCCAGTGGGAGGTTCTGGGACAGATACATCTGTACCACAATATCACTTCTGGATAAACATCTGGAGCAGAGGTCCATATGTGGGTCTCAGCCACAAGGTATAGATAGAACACTCTGTCTGGGACAGTGCTGCTCTATCTTCTTGGTGCTTGAGGGGCAAGAGTGGGAGGGCTTCTGGAGCTTTGGCCCTGCCGGTGGACCTCCTGATGGCCCCTGAGTTTTGACCACTGTGCGACACAGAATGCTGGATTGGGTGGACCACTGGCCTCATCAAATATGGCTTCTCTTATGCCAACATACCATTTTCATGTCAGCCTTTTTGAGTGGTAAATAGAGGGATGGGGGAGTTTGCATGGATTAAAAGGTAAAGGTAAAAATTCCCTTGCTCGAAAGCCAGTCGAATCCGACTCTAGGGTTGCGGTGCTCATCTCCGTTTCAAAGCCGAAGAGCCAGTGCTGTCCGAAGACGTTTCCGTGGTCATGTGGCCAGCACGACTAAACACCAAGGTGCATGAAACACTGTTCCCTTCCCACTGAAGGGGTACCTATTTATCTACTTTGAACTCCTTGCTTTTGAACTGCTAGGTGGCAGGAGCTGGAACTAGAGACGGGAGCTCACTCCGTCAGGCGGCACACTCGGGTCTCGAACTGCCGAACAACTGACCTTCCACAGCCTGCGTGGATTAATGAGATCCCAAAAGTTGAGCCAGGTTTGTTAGCCCATCACGACAACACATTCGTCGTAGAGTCCACTACAGTACATGCATCGGTGTTACCAAATCCCTCACGGTTGCTTGACTCGCAAGGAAACTCAAAGCAGAGACAAGCCATCCCTCCCCAGCCATTCTACAGATGATAGATGGGCCCGGCAAGATCAGAGCAAGGGTCCAATCAGCTCACCCTCCTGTTTCCCACAGTGGCCAATCACATGGCCCTGGAAGGTCTACAGATACGAGCACAGATGCGAGAGCCTCCCTCTGTTACGACCGTGCGGCAACTGTCACTCCAAGGTACAGTGTCTCTAAACAAAGAAGTTTCATTTCCTCATCATGGCTAAGAGCTATTGTTATAGAATCATAGAATGACTGGGTTGGAAAGGGCCACGGAGGCCATCTAGTCCAGACCCCTGCCCAAAGCAGGATCAGCCTTGAGCATCCCTGACAAGCAGGGGTCATTTAGTAGAAAAAGAGGTGCAGGATCTCATTAGCATAACGCATTAGCATAACTTATTTGCATAAGCCACACCCCTGGACATCACCGGAAGTGTGTCAGAAGGCAACACCCACCGCTCAGGTACCACTGGACTGTTTTGGATTGCTAGCTATTGGGGGGGGGGCGTGCAGATCTGCCCTCACAGAGGAGGGAGAGCTTGTACCTGAATAAAACTTGGTCTTAAAGGTGCCACTGGACTGTTTTGGACCGGGGGGGCGGGGGGGCTCTGCAACTTACCTGGCTGCTTCTTGCTCTGACTGAGGGCTGCTGGGAGCAGGGGGTGGGGCTTGTTGCATGTGCCCACCCCCTCGGCTCTTTACTGCCGGAGCTCTGCTCCTGTGTGCTCCCACAGGAAATGACCCCTGCTGACAAGTGTCTGTCCAGCTGCTGCTTAAAGACAGCCAGTGAAGGGGAGCTCACCGCCTCCCAAGGCGGCTGATTCCATTGCTGCACAACTCTGGCTGTCGAGAAGATTTCCCTAAGATCCAGCCGGTACCTTCCCGCCAGTGTTCCCTGCAAGCTGAGTGAGTGTGAGCCAGCTCACAGTTTATAAGCCTCCAGCTTACTCATTTTCATCTTAGCTCAGGAAGGAGGGCTCCAGAGCGGCCTAACGTATGCAGCAGCCAAATCACTCACTCACAGCCTGAATGGCAGGAGCTCACAAAGTAGGATTTTTGCTCACAAGACTCCACAGCTTAGAGGGAGCATTGCTTCCCACCCTTATTTTAAACCCATTCTTGCAAGTCCTCTCCTCTGCTTCCAACAGAAACAGCTCCCTGCCCTCCTCTAAGTGACAGCCCTTCAAATAGAAGAAAGAAGGAGAGATTGGATATATACCCCGCCCTTCCCTAACCAAAGGAGTCTCAGAGTGGCTTACAAACTCCTTTCCCTTCCTCTCCCCACAACAGAAAACCTGTGAGGCAGGTGGGGCTGAGAGAGCTCTGACAGGAACTGCCCTTGAGAGAACAGCTCTGAGAGAACTTGTGACTGACTGAAGGTCATGCCTGCAGCTGCATGTGAAGGAGTGGGGACTCAAACCCGGGTCTCCCAGATTAGAGTCCGCATTCCTACCCACTACACCAACCTGGCTCTCTTCAAGAGAGCAATCATGCCTCCCCCTCGACCTCCTCTTCTCCATACTAAACATCCTGAAGTCCCTTGGTGGATTTGTCGAATCCTCTTTTAAAGCCACCATCATCACTATACCCTGTGGCAGGGAGAGCTACAAGTTGAATACAACGAATCCATGAAGCTGCTTTCTACTGGGGGTTGAATCTGGGAACTTCTGCATTCCGAGCAGGTGCTCTACCACTGAGTCATGGGACACTCCCCTGTTAATTAAAAATTAACCGTTCATTACTACAAGTTCATTATCCACTCTGCGAAGAAGCACTTTGTGTGTCCACTCCTACGTAAACATCCACCAGTTTAATTTCGTGCTCTCAAGCTATAATATTGTGGGGAAAGGAAGAACTCTCTCTCTCAGCCAGTTTGACTGGGAGAACCGGGTTTGATTCCCCGCTCCTCCACATGCAGCTGCTGGTGTCACCTTGGGTCAGTTACAAGTTCTCTCAGGAGCAGTTCTTGAAAGAGCTCTCTCAGCCCCACCTACCTCACAGGGTGTCTGTTGCTATGGGGAGAGGAAGGGAATGGAAATTGTAAACTGCTCTGAGACTCC